TATATATATATATATATATATATATATATATATAGAGAGAGAGAGAGAGAGAGAGAGAGAGAGAGAGAACTCAAAATTTCCCGAGAACCCGAGAACAACAGATGGAGCGTTGGATAAAAAAAAGGGATGGTCGAGATGTAAGGTGACGTTCTTGTAATTAATTGGAATTAATCGGAAACTAAAGAGAAGGGGGCATGTTAATTAAATGAGATAATGGGTATTATTGGAAACAAATATATTATTAGTTTATTATTAAATCTGATTTACTAAAACACAATACAAAATATCCCAATGTCGCCTGCTATCTTCCCCAAGCGATCATCACCTGGTGCCGACAATTCCTCGTCCCCCATAGCCGACGTCGGCGAGTTGCATCTTCAGATCGACGATTCATTGGAGATTGATGATCTACCAAAATCACCGTCGATTTCCTCGACAATCACCACAAGGTTGCAATCCACCACCGTCTTCCTCAATCGTCAACACGGTAGGTCAGGTTCAGATTTCAAAGAGAGATAATGATCTTTTGTTTATGAATATTGATAGATTGATTACATTTTGAGGATGAATGAATGCAGGGTGCTAGTATTATATCAACGGATTATTACAATTATGGATTCTTCGGTGCGAAAATCAAATCGCCAACGAAGTACACCGCAGGAATCGTCTTCGCGTTTTACGTATGTAATCATCATCACCTGATTTCGATTTCATTTTCGTTTTACTTTTTCTCATCAACATTTTGTGATTGATTTGAGGAAATTAGGGCAAAATTCGGTTTATTAACAGAGTTTTAATAGAAGCTTCTTCCCCGTTCACTTTTCTTATTAGATGTTCTCTGTTGGGAGCGACAACAGTCTCTACATGTTTTTCTGAATTCTCTTTAACCACCTACAACTGGGGAAATTTTTTTGAACCTGTTAATAAATTTTTAGAATGTTGAATGTTCAAAAATGGCAAAAATACCATACCTGAGTTGTTTCTTCCGAAGATACTGCTGTAATCTTGCTCTCATCAGCCTGTAGCATTTCATACAGAGCATGTTAAACATATATAAATGTCTAAAAGAATAGGAACTTTATAAGAACGAAATAAAATAAATATCATGCATACCTGTGGTGCCTTTTCTGAATGTTCCTTAGCCAATTTGTTCTTGTCAGTCTGTAATAATGTAATATAAGAGTTTAAACAAAATGTACATTATGTCATTGTCATCAATACAATTACTTCAAGCAGTATGTAATGAGATAACTTTTGAAATTATACCTGTTGCTGCACCAAATCACTCTTGCCATTTTGCTCAAAAACAGTTGCTCCTTCACATACAACATCCAAAACTGGGCTATAGTTATCTAATGCATCACCCAAAATGGGAAGGTTTTTAATCAAATAAGGCCTGAATGAATAGATGCGCATGTACAAATAGTCAAATTCAGGTAAAATTTATGGCAAATCAATTGAAAAAAATGGTTGCTTACTTCATGTAGTAAGTCGATGTGACACATTAATTTCAAATTTATGGCAAATAAGCCCTCCACTCTAGGTTCTCTCCAGCAGGTAAATACACAAAACTAGCACCCAATGCATTTGCCTTCTGCTTATTGCTGACACTCTGCAAATAGAAGAACATTCAAAGCAGAATCCAACTGGTGACTCAGATGTAAATAAAAATGTAAATGGAGCCAAAGGAAATGTTAACAAACCTGAGCAAGTGAACCTTCAGGGGCAGAAACTCCATAGTACTTCAAAGTGACATATAATTCTTGTATGACGAATCATGAATCTTTTCAGGTAATTTCTGCCTCAGGAGCTGTTAAACATGAAGATGTTGTGGATCAGGTAAAAAAAATGTTCACAAAGCTCTCAGCCAATCCCATGACTACACCACAGTTAGTAGAAAAGGAGCCTGCAATCTTCACTGGATCAGAGGTATGCATTATTATTATTATCCTTATTTATTATCCATGAAATTAAAAATTCCAAATTGATGAAATTAATAATCAGATTCGTATGTGGGACGATGATATGCCTCTTTTAACTTTGTATCTATACATGTACATATTTTTTTTCACATAGTTGTTTACTAACTTGGTATCTATACATGTACATATTTTTTCACATACTAACTTGGTGATTCACTTGTGATTCACATATGATTCACATGATTCACATGTAATTCACATCTGAATTACATGTGATTCACATGTAAATCACATATGAATCACATGTGACACACATGTAAATCACATATAAATCACATATGAATTACATGTGATTCACATGTAAATCACATATGAATTACATGAAATTCACATATGAATTACATGTGATTCACATGTAATTCACAATTCACATATGAATTACATGTGATTTACATGTAAATCACATATGAATTACATGTGATTCACATGAAATTCACATATGAATCACAATTACATGTGATTCACATATGAATTACATGTGATTTACATGTAAATCACATGTAATTCACATATGAATTATATGTGATTCACATGTAAATCACATATGAATTACATGTGATTCACATGTAAATCACATATGTATTTTTGTGACTGTTTTTGCATCAATCAGATACTTTTTAATTTTCTTGTAGATTTGGAAGAAATTGTGGTGAATATTGAAGAGGTGGAAAATGATAAATTGAAGAAAATATGGAAATATTGACACGAAAACATGAAAATGCTTTGAAATTTTGTAGCATTTTTTGTTTTTTATATTTTATATTGTATCGAATAAAATACTTATTGTATTGTGTTTATAGATTAGTAAATAAAATGAGTTTTCTTACAAATATTATAGTATATGAAATATGCATATATGCATTTGTAAAAATATGCATAAATGTACCAAAAATGTTGATTTTTTTGGTTAAAAAATTATAGTATTTTTTAAATATTCCAATTTTTTTTATTGATTTTTAAATGATTTTTAAAAAATGCAGTTTTTTTAAAAATAATTTTTTTCAATTTTTTTTTCAAAAATTCATGTTTTCTATAAAAAACTAAAAAATCTGCACTTTTTTTTTTAAAAAAAAACTGAAAAATACTATTTAAAAAAAAAACTGAAAAATACTATTTTTTTAAAAATCTGCAAAAAACTGATTTTTTTTTCGACAAAACTGCAAAATTAGTCTCTGTGGTATTCAAAAAATTTTGGATAGGGTCCAAAAAGTTTTCAACTTGCATGGAAGGTCCAAAATCAAAGTTTTTCTGGGTTTTTGGTCCCTGATACACTTGAAAAGTTGATTTTGCCATTTTCATTTCTTTTTTCTATTTTCTTTATTTATTTTGGTATTTAAAAAATAAAATATAGAATCTCTCTCTCTCTCTCTCTCTCTCTCTCTCTCTCTCTCTCTCTCTCTCATCAAACTCAACACTTTAGCTTTGCGAATCTTCATCTCAAATCAAACACAAAATCCTTTCTGTGTTTAAAAAATTTACTTATCGCAACACCAAATTCTTTTGACCAAGAGCCGATAATCATCACTCCATGTGAAGCTGCAATCAATAACCTGAT